GCCAGTCAAAAAGCAGGAACAACAGCTTGGGACACATTTTCAAGTGCTTAGCACCCAGAATTAGGTTTTTAAAAGGCCTCAGGACCCAACTCTTCTGCAAAGCTGGCCACTAAATTTGGTGCCTTAATGAGAGCTGAGCTCTTGAAAATCTGTCCCCATGTAACTTAGGTGAACAATTATACAGAATGGCAAATAGCTTGCAAGCAGCCCACAGGCTGAAATACGTTAGCGTAAACTAGCAATTAAATCATTCAAAATAAGAAAAATAGCTGTGAAAAAGCCAAATCCATCTGTGGATAATTCACTTAAAGAAAAAGAGGCTCCATTCACCAGATAAATTGTTACTGAGACTAGTTCACCCAACTCTTTTCCCACACAGAAAGTTTGCATACTGCCACTGCATTATGCACACATATTTATGATTGCAGATGTGCTTATAGGTGTTTACATCATAATTCTGCAGATATTTACCATATGCTCCTATGTAAACACATGCATAGTTTTATGTCTAACTCACAGTTATTGTTATGTGCTTGGCCATTCCCGGGGCTGGAGGAGCTGCCCAAAAATGTTCTGGGTAAAAAGGAATTTTAAAGTGAATATAAGAGACAGAAATGATTAAAAAATGCATTCACCACCATGCACCCAATCACACCTTAGTGACTGGCTGACTAGGAAACATGACCTTGTGAGCTAAAAAGGAGTCACCTAAGCAGAGGGTAACTGAAGCTGCAGCACCTTTCACCGACCTAAAAAGACATTTTAAAGGGTATAATGAAGTGCCTCTAAACCTGTCACCTGCTTGTCACTAGGCAGCATGGCTTTGGGTATTTATCCCTTTTGCAACCCGTGACGCAATACTGTCCCCTATAAACCTTGGGCCTGATTCTCCACTGCCCTGTACCTTGCACAGCCATGTGCCCCGGAGCATTGGGAGTGTAAAAGGCCGCCCAGTCACTCTGGTAGACTCTGATACCCACTTTGCGCTTGTTGTGAATGACCACACAAGGTGCATGGCAATGGAGCCCCAGACCCCTTGACTCCTGGGTAACAGTACACAGGTCTCCTGTTCTAAGGCTTGTGCTTCTGAGACTGAGGGGACACTAGATGGGGTGAGATCTGAGTTACTACAGAGAATTCTTCCCTGGGTGTCGGGCTCGTGAGTCTTGCCCACATGCTCAGGGTTTAGCTGATTGCCATATTTGGGGGTGGGAAGGAATTTCCCTCCAGGGCAGATTGGCAGAGGCCCTGGGGGTTTTTCACCTTCCTCTGCAGCATAGGGCACGGGTCACTTGCTGGAGGATTCTTTGCACCTTGAAGTCTTTAAACCATGATTTGAGGACTTCAATGGCTCAGACATAGGTTAGGGGTTTGTTACAGGAGCGGGTGGGTGAGATTCTGTGGCCTGCGTGGTGCAGGAGGTCAGACTAGATAGAAGATCCTAATGGTCCCTTCTGACCTTAAAGTCTATGAGGTCAGGGAGCACATGACAGAGGGGTCACGTGACTCCAGGTTGGAAGTGATGCCTGCTATAAATGGAGGCAGCCTACCCTCAGTAGTGGGGGATGTAGCTAGGAGGGGGGGGGGGATCCTATAATGGCTAGGAAGGGTTTCCTACTGGGCAGGGAAGTGCCCGCCTCAGTTTTCAGAAAGTGGGGTAAGTCTTTGTTGCTAAATGTGCTGTTTTACTTATCTGGAGACTTTTGCGGGTTCTGTTATTTAAGGAAACCTGCTGTGAGGAAAAGGCCATGGAACCTGACTGGAGTATTTAGACTGTATTTGGACTGTCCCAGGTAGTGAATCTGCCCACCACTGTACATCCAGTCAGTGCATGTTCTGTATCTGTGCGTTCACACTGCTTCTTGGGGCAAGGGCTGTCTTCTGGGGGGCTACTGCAATAACAAACCCTGATGATGATTCTGAGTTTTACTGAGGGAGGAGGTAGGCGAGGGGTGGTTCGTTCTTACTGTCACCAGCAGAGATGATGTCCAGAGGCAGACATGAATCAGCCAGCTAGGGGAAGCAAGGAGAAAAAATACAGTTCTTTGAATGATTTGTTGTGGCATGATTAATGCCTGATCACTGCCCCTAGTCTCAGACGCCCACCCCTCTCTAATTGCACACAGACAAACAGATCCTTCTGCCCAGATCCCAGGCTGCTGTAACAGTGCTGAAGCACACAGAAATGGTATCTAGGATCCCGCACTCCTGCAAGCAGCTCTCTGGGGTGGTTGAGAGGGACAGCTGGGGAGGGAGCGCAGCAGTTCTCTCCTGATGTAATAACACATTTTGGGTTACAATTTCCATGAGACTTTTGAGTCTGGGGCAGGGCTCTATCTCAACGGCAAAATATTTATGACAGGCTGGAAGTGTCAAGATGATAAACCAGGAAGGAAAAGCTCCCGCCCCTGGAAGGGGCATTGAGAGGAACTCACTGCTTGAAGGCTTTGCCATGGCCAATAGGCAAAAGCCAGTATCAATGGCTGGGACTGTGAAACTGCCAAGGAGTTGCATGTTCCATATAATCTCATTTAATGTGTGGTTTGAAAGGAGGCTATGAAAACAATAGCTCCTTCACCCACGGCTGGGCTCCCTGCTTGCAACCTTGTGCGGAGGTGGAAGTCTTAAGTAGCACTTACACATGTGCTGCTCGTCTGCCTGGCGGTCTATTTCACCCAGCCAGAGATAAAGGGGGGTTATCTTGGGTCTCTGCAAAAAGAGTTTTCTTTTACAAGAGCTTGACTAGGGCATACGTTTCTGCAGGAATTTGATACCCAGTTCATCCCTATTCAACACAATCACGTGCTTAACTTTAAGCACATGCTTGGTGCTGAGTAGGGATGGACTTATGCACATGCTTAAACGCTCTGCTGAACAGGGCCGGTGCTGCTGTGCCTGGCTCTACAGTATTCTGCAATGGGTCAGTGCCTACTCTTCATTGCAGCCAATGTGGTTTTTAGCTGCCTCTCAGAGGAAGTGCAGGCCCCGAATATGGTCAGACAACAATGAACACACACAGTTGCAGTAACAGCAGTTGGGTGATGTCTTTAGCATGGAAGGGAAAAAATTGTTCTAAAAATGACACAAACCACAGGAAATGCTTAGGGGGGAAGCAAGTATTTTAAGTAATAATAAGATTGCATCTAATGTGTTCCAGATAGTGCATAATTGTTTTTCAAAACTACTGTCCATTCTTTAAAAAAAGTAAGATGTGGGGAGTTGGAGATTGTTACTTACATTGCTTGGAAAAATACTCAAAAATCTCATCAGAATTTCTGACTTGGGTCTCTGCAAAACTGCTCCACTGAGAAAGAAAACACTTTTATCTCACAGTTTCTGTGCAAGTTCACTCTGGCAGTTACAGAACCAGGAGCCCTCTGCATGAGTAACAGATCTATTCCATTGTGTAAAGAAAGGTTATTTGCCATAGCGGAGAAGGTATCTAGGGCGAATTAGGCTTTCGCTCAATAACTGCTCTAGCCTTATACATGATGTATTGCCTTCTGCTTTACAAACCACAGGGAAGCTTTCGGGGGGCGAGGGGGGATGCTTTGTTCAGTGAGATTCATGAAGATAGGAATGGGCCCATTACTTTATCGCTAAAGGAACATAGTGAATCAAACTGCTTTCACAGGTATGTCCACTCTAAACCGCATTTTTGCAACATTTTTATTAACTACACGAGTGACAGTAGAGGGTTGTATTAAAAGTGACGTTTGACCATGTGAATAATGGGTTAGGCATTTCACTGCTACCCAACCAGCTATATTGACATTGTTCACTCTTCCCAGCCCCATTTTCATGAGCTACAACAGTGGAGCAATCTCTTATACAATCCCAGTCATTTTGGCTTTTAGTTGCATTTTGTCACCAAGTAAAACTTTATGGTCCTCAACTCCACACTAGGGAAATAATGGCCATCACATCACAGGCAGTTTGCTGATGTAATGTTAGACAGCTTTTTGTTTTTGTTTTTCCTTCCAAGCAGACAGCCAATACCACAGTACTATATAATTTTTGGAGGGTCCTGATTCAAGAACCCCTTGTCTGGTTCACTGATTCCTCATAGAATTATTTTTCATCTGCAGATGCAACCTACAAATTCTGCGGTTGATATATATATATATCTCAGTGGATTTTAAAGGAAAGTCAGGTGCAACCTTAGACCATGATTGTGCAAGGTGTAAGCACTTGATTAACTTCATGTGCATTCACGGGATGCGACTACTCATGTGCCTTACTGTTTTCTAAGGACTGGGGCCTGAATTATGTGTCAAAATGTAACTGCATCATTAAGGTAGAGATTTTAATCATGCACGAGTCAGAAAGCTGATGAGTTGAGATTCCCATAGCAACTTTTAAATCTGCCCCCTTCTGTTTATGCAGCACAATAGCATCTTTCATGACATGAGCAGCACACAGCACATATGTAGTGAAGCTGTTAGAATTGGTGAAAAGTGTTTTGGAAAACAAAAAACCACCACCACCCAACAAAACTGGTTCAGAGGGTTTAGCAGCCCTGAGATTTTTATTTCAGCAGCGACCTTCCTTTGCGGAGCCGCATTCATTTACACTAAAGCCCGGGACACGACACCCCCAAAAGTCACTGTTGCTGAATGAAAACCATAGGTGCAGATCCTGGTATGTGTGTGGACTCCTGCATCTACGAGAAGGCGCGGGGCGAGCAGGAAAAAAAACGTTGGTGCAAATCTACACTTTCCCCCTCAGGGGTGAGAATTTATTTGTAAAATTCACCCCCTCTCGCCCCCGCGGGCTGGCGATGCGGGCTGCAGGCAGAGGGCTCGGCTAGGACGTCTGGGTCTGCCCCCCAGAGCGGGGGCCGGTCTGTAGCACCCTCCCCAGCCGGTCCCCGCTGCACCCTGAGCGCACCCAGCCGGCTCCCTGCCCCTGCACTCACATCCGGGGTTGGGTTTGCTGCTAACGCGAAACGTAAATTAACCCGGAAAAAACGAGGCGCCGGAGCCACACGCCCCCAGCTCCCGATGCGCCGGAGCAGCGCCCGGCTGGCCATGCCCCGGGGCCGCCCGCAGACGCCGCTGGGTGAGTGGGGAGCGCCCCGGGGGGCCGGGAGGGGCGCAGAAGCGTCCCCCGGGGAGGGTGGGTGGAGGCGACGCGCCGGCGGGGAGCTGCCCTGGGCAGGGGTGAGGGTTTGGGGAGCACCCCGGGAAGGGGGCGGAGACGGGGGGTGCCCCGGGGTCTGGGTGTTGGGGGGTCGGAACTCAGCGCCTGCCCCTGGGGACAGAACATCCCTGGGGCGCGCGGCGCTGCCTGCCCGGAGCTGCCCGTCCGCGCCCCGGGCAGCGGGGCATTGCGGAGCCGCAGCGGTTCCCTCCCCAGGTGTTTTTATGGAGCAACGCCCGGCTCAAGTCGGAGAGAGGCTGGAATAACTCTGCGTGCCAAGAGCTCCCGCTGGGGGTATGTCTATGGCGCCCCCACAAAGCCCCTTTCCCTTTGATACTCTGCGCAGTTTGAGCTGATTCTTAGAAGAGTTTGTCGCTGTGCACATGGGTCGCTGAAGACCACAAAGGGCTTTTTATGCCCAGGCATCCTTCAGGGAGCTTGCAAAGGGCTCCCTATGCGGCCCTGAGTTTCAATAGGGAACCGTGCCTGGGCATGTACTGGAATTCAAGAGGGGTTTAGCGTCTTAAGACATATGTTCATGCGTGGTCAGAGAAGACCATGTAAGATAATTGTGAAGGTTTTAATTCAACCATGTGATCTGTTCTGATCCCTATTCTGCACACTGTATTCCTGCCTTGGGTCAGAAGGACAGCTCATTGGTACCAATTAGTCTTCCCTTGACTTCAGAGGACTTTGGGTCCTGCCGATAGAAAGGATTTCAAGTGCCTGACTTCCATTAGCACTGATGGGAGTTACAGACAGTATGTGTCTTAGTCACCTTTCAGTATGTTGCTATCTTGTATACGTAGGAAGCCGTCAGTATTCGCGTGGGGTGCTATCCCAAAAGGGAAAAGTCAGGATGGGGTTGGTTTGTCAGTCTTGGAATAGTGCAAGAACCTTTTCTTAGCAGCCCCTGGATCCGTAGCCTGAATCCATAGCGAAAGGCCTCTGCAGTTTCATGATTCATAATCAATAACACTTTATTGTGTTTCACCCCAAACTTCCCAGCGCAGAATATTTACAGGTTGGAAAACTGACGCAGAGAGGTTAAAGCCCACATTTTCAATGGTGTCCACTGACTTTTGTGTGTCTCAGATTGTTGGCACCCAAAATTTTGGGCCTAAGTGACTAATATATGGTCAGTGAGTCAGTGGGAAAGGCAGGATTAGTTCTCCGGTCCAGAATCCCAGTCTCCTGGTTAGTTTCACTAGATCAAGTTCTTTTATGAACAGAAGGATGCTATAATGACATAGTTTAACCTCACTACTTTCAGGCCTTCCTTTGAGCTGGTTAATTGTTTAATAAAGACAAATGTTTGGAATTAACATGAGTTTTATTGCTGAACCTATTGCACACAATATTTACATCTGTTCTCCCATTCACCTGCCCTTCCTCTGCAAACTGCCAGCATTCTATGAGTTAATGGGGAGAATTTTGAGAGCTCTCTTTAGTAAGCATAGGTAAAAGGAAGTGGAGTTTGCAGATGTGGTAATGTCACAAAAGGGCTAAACGATCATCCATCATAGCGTAGGATGTTTTAATAACTGTGTACTAGGTGGTGCCTTGGGAACTGTTGATGCTTTGTGGAAGAGTGGATATAATTTGGTGGTCCAAGACAGCAGTGGAGCTAAAGTAGCCCCGTGTCATCTCTAATTTAAACTCCTCAGAGAGGGAGACTGTGTCTCAGTTGCATTAAGAAAAGCATTGGCTATGCCGTAGATCCAGGTACCAAGGTGACAAGCCATCTCTAAGGTGGAATCTCCATCCTTAGAGGTTTTTAAGGCCCGGCTTGACAAAGCCTTGGCTGGGATGATTTAGTTGGTGTTGGTCTTGCTTTGAGCAGGGGATTGGATGATCTCCTGAGGTCTCCTCCAACCCTACTATTCTATGATTCTAAGCCCAGTACAAATAATTAGAAAGGTAGATCTATGTTGACAGTGATGCTGTTTTCTTGGAATGGATCTAATTTAAATGTATCTTGGTTCCCATTATTTTCAAGGATACCAAGTGCGGAGGCTCTCACACTGTCTGGTGCCAGCAGAATACCCATTTATTGTAACCAATTGCACCGCATGTGACTCTTCCACTTACAAAATACTAAACTCTGTGGTCCCTTGCAGTGTTATCTCCTGCACTGTGCCCTAGACTGACCTAGCTGTGTCATACTGGACCATCTAAGGGCTTGTCTACATGGGGACATCCAGAAAGTTAATCCAAATTAACTAACGGTGTGAATTTGAAGTGGATTAGTTATACTGAATTAAATCCCTGTGTGGATGGTGTTGTTCAGAATGAAAGTTGCTTTAATTTGGTTTAGTTTAATTCACTTTTAGGAAGTGAAGGCCACTTTAATTCTGAATCATGGTATTCCCACAGGGATTTAATGTGGTTTAACTAATTTACTTCAAATTCACACCTTTAATTAATTTGGATTATTTTTCCTGTATATCCACATGTATGCAGTGTTGTTGTAGCCATGCTGGTCCCAGGATATTAGAGAGAGAAGGTGGGGGAGGTAATATATTTTATTGGACCAACTTCTGTTGGAGAGAGAGAAAAGCTCTTGAGATTCTGAATAAGAGCTCTGTGTAAACTCAAAAGCTTGCCTTTCACTAACAAAAGTTGGTGCAATAAAAGATATTACCTCCCCCACCTT